TGAATGAAGGCACAGCAGACTCTATGCTGGCACTAGTGAATGACCAGCATTCAAAATTTCAAATATGCTCCATTCATCAGTATGCTACATTTTTGTCCTCACGGCACTATCAGAAAACATTCATCCAGGCTAGGGTGGGAAAACTTGTAATCCTTCAAGAGGCTGCTGAACTTCCAGCTCCTATCAGCTCCAACTTGCATGGCCGATACCAGGGACAATAGGAGCCAACAAGATATGGAGGTCCACAGGCTTCCAACCCTAGAGCTAGGCAGCACACTCTTCCCGCCGCCCCCTGTAACCTCTTGTCTTCATGCCTTGTAATTATAACAAGACATTTGCTTCCTGAAGCAGAGAAGCAATTTGCTTCAATAAATGAGACAAGATGCAGTCCTGAATAATTTGTAGATAGTGAGTGAAATCCAATGGTGCTGTTCCATTAGTGAAATAGCTTTTGTTCCAGTAATGCTAACATAAGAAATGGTGAGCCTGTTTCCTCAAATTCCCCCATCCCTTCCAGCTTCCTCCCCTACCCTTCTGGACAGTGCCCTAAACCTTTGGAACAGAATTTTGGGGGTGCAGGGGGATTTGGATAAGATGCCCTCCCCTCCTCTTACACAGAAGCATTCGAGGGGGGAGAAGTTGCATTATCCTTAGGCCATGGGTCCACCTAGATCAGGATTGTCGATATCATCTAGCAGCATCTCTGCTGGATTTTCAAAAGGTCTCTCTCCCAGTCCTATCTGAGGATGGCAGATATTGAACCTGGGAAGTTCATTACTTGGCCTGGATAGCTCAGTTGGTTTGAGCTTGGGGCTGATAACACCAAGGTTGCAGGTTTGATTCCCATATGGGACAGCTGCATATTCCTGCCTTGCAGGGTTTGAACTAGATGATCGCCAGGGTCCCTTCCAACTCTACAGTTCTGTGATTCTGCATGCAAAGCAGATTGTCTCCTGCTGAGCCACAACCCTTCCCACTTTTACATTAGTGGAAGCATTTTTTGGATCAAAAACCATGAAATACTTCCATCCAGCATTTTAAAGGCTACATTCATCGTAAATTAATACATTAAAATAAAGTTACACTAAAGTTGAAAGCACTGTATTCTCTCATCCTCACAAGATGAGGGAAAATGTATCTGCTTGCTGCTGCTTATTTCTTGAAAGATACACTGAATCTAAAGGAAAACAGCTTCATTATTTTCCCTTTTTGCTTTCAACAATATAACAATTCATGCATAAGGGGACAGAATACTTTCAGCATTTAAAGAAGCACTTAAGACATATTTTGAACTAATTTCTTCAGTACAATGGGCTTAAAGCCACCTGTTCCACAGAAACTCTGCCGGGCTGAAATAACCCGCCACCCACAGTTAAATATACCAAGTCCCATTTAAATAATTGGGATGTCAGCACGTTAACAGAGCGCTCAACAGCTGCAACTAGGTTCAGTAAGCCTGTCAAAATTGCTACTTAGGAAGGCTCAACATGAAGGCTATAAGCCTAAACCCATTTACTCAGAAATGAACTCCACTGAAATCAGTGAAACTTGTTTCCAAGGACTGCAGTTAGTATCAGGTTATATAATCACATGCTCCTTTGATACAGACAAGATCCATGGCATGATCCAGCCCATGCTAAGCAAGTAGGTGTGCCGCTGGTTTTAACAGGAGTGATAAAAGAGGGAAAAGTTTGCCCCAATTGATGAACCGATACTTTTCATTCCTTCTCCATTAAGCAAATGTGCAAGTATAGCACAATATGTGGCTTGCATGCATCTGTTCACAATTTTTCAAAAAGCCATATAACTGCACATTCAGAGGTTACAAGACTAAGTAATACAGCAATGCATAAGTGCAAAACCAAATTGATAGTTTTTAGGCACAATTATTGATTCTGGGTTCCACTGGATAATTACATAGTAGTAGAATGAAGAATAGCTACATAATTAAATGCCAAAGTTCAGTCCTGAGGAACTTGAGGCAAATTCTATCAACAAATGTTTAGAATAAGTCAATTCTGACATTTTGGCTATGGGTTCAAATTTCAGCTTCAAATCTGCCGCATGTACAAGGCAGTGATTAGATAGGCAGCTTGCTCCTACTCCCTTCTGCAGTTGTAATGGAGCAAACACCTATAAAACAAGATCTTATGCAATGCAAGGAAGAACAGCACAAAACTGCATCAGTGTTATTAACTGGTTGCCAGATTTAAAGATGTTAATGTCTGCTACTCTCTTTAAAGGGAAAATGGATTATTTAAAAAAGTATTCCTGTACCAAGCCAGGGACTCCTTTTGGAAGCAGATGGCTGTCATTCTTTTGGCACAGGAATGGGGCCAGCTGTTGGTGCCAGCATCTGATCCTATATTCTGTCCTGTGTGGCATGCTTTCTAAATGCTACAGTCTAAATAAAAAACTTCCCATTTAGGGAGCTAAGTGACATTTTCATTTATCAAAACACTTGGTAACATGCATCATTTACAAGGCTCATCTTTGTTACATTTTTAACAAACTGATAAAATGGCAATGTTGGGGAATGAATAAGATATGACTAACAAAGCCCAAAATGTGCAATAAAGGCTGATATTTATACCAGAAAACTGCACATGCATAAAAAACTACAAGTGACTGGGAGCAATGTGCTTAAGAGCCTATCTGCAGCCTAACAAAGCTGATTGCAAAGAGCACATTTTTGGCAACATGTCAACACCCTATAGCATGGGTAGGCAAGCTAAGGCCTGGGGGCCAGATCCAACCCAATCGCCTTCTAAATGTGGCCCGTGGACGGTCCAGGAATCAGCATGTTTTTACATGAGTAGAATGTGTCCTTTTATTTAAAATGCATCTCTGGGTTATTTGTGGGGCATAGGAATTTGTTCAGCCCCCCCCCCAATATAGTCCAGCCCCCCACAAGGTCTGAGGGACAGTGGACCAGCCCCCTGCTGAAAAGGTTTGCTGACCCCTGCCCTATATACAGAGTACTACTGTGAGAACACCCACTGCCACACCTGCATGTTTGTCATCAGCATATTTCTGACAACATACTCCAAAACTCTAGATAACCCCACTTAGCAGTTTCATGTAAATGTTAAACAGCATGGGGGAGAAAATCAAACCCTGAATAACCCCACATGGAAACTCCATGGAACTGAAGAACACTCACCAAGCATCACCCTCTGGTGATGATCACCCAAGGAGGAAGGGAACCGCCACAAAGCAGTGCCACCCACCCCAACTCAAACAGCTGCTACAGAAGGATACCACAGTTGATATTGAAAGCCACTGAGAGCAGAGGCTGATTTAGGAGAGCGCGACCGATACAGTCACACTGGGCGCAGAGCCTCAGGGGCGCTGCAGGGGACGGCACAACAAAGATGTAGAATGGAAGGCAAGGAGACCAAATTTTGGAGTTGCACAGGGCATTGCTGAAATCTGAGACCCCAAGGTCCGCCACAGCTGAGAAGCTGAGGAGAATTAATAGGAATATATTTCCCCTCTCTCTCCCCCAACAGAGGTCATCATACAGGGCAATCAAAGCAGTTTCTGTCAGAGGCCGTAGCTGGGGGGAGAGGAGGACTAGCCAGGATCCCCCCCCCCCAGTGAAGCCTGCCATTGAGGCTCCCACCCTGTGTATGTACACCAGTGGTTTTCAACCAGTGTGCTGTGGCACCCTGGGGTGCCTTGAATTGTGGTCAGGGGTGCCGCGGGCAACTAGCCTCTGTCCCTTCCCTACTTCCTGTGATGGTCTCTCTGCTTCCCAAAGGCTTGTGCGGCTGTTTGTTGCAGCAGCCCTGGCTACAAGTTCAGCAAGTGAATGGTGCCTCTGGGGCTGGCCAGGGGGTGCTGCTGCCTGGAGCTGAGGTAGCCTCTAAGTAAGCAAGCAAGCCCAGCCAGCCAGTGTGCCAGCCCTTGCTGTTGGGAATGGACAGACAAGTCCCAGGCCCCTGTGGGGCTGTGTGAGGAGGCACCTCTCTTTGGAACAGGGGGGCAGCTCAAAGACCAGGGGCAGCGGTAGCAGCTGCCCAGAGGACTCCCAAGGAGAGGGGAGAGGAGGCTGAGGAAACACTCTACAAGGGAGCGTGTTCAAAAAAGCATGAGAGGCTGCCAGCTCTGCAGGAAAGGGGTGACATAACTGGGCTTCTGAGCCTCATGGGAGGCCACAGAAAGAACGCAGTTGGTCAAGGGAGCCGTGGAATCAAATAGGTTGAAAACTTCTGGCATACACAAATGTACATCTTTACCTGGAAGAAATAATGCCTAGTTTTGCCCCTGGTTTCTGCACCAAAACTGGGTCTAAGCCCTGATTGAAATGAATCTAGAAAATCCCTGCTAGTTTCTAATCAGCCAAGAGGGACAAGGGTCCAGAGCACACACAAGTGACCTATCCAAGCACCTTGTCCACAATCTCCAGCCTTACTAACTGAAATACAGAAGTGGTGGTGTTGAAATCTTACTGTGTAATCGTTTGCATGACTATTCAGAAACATGCACCACCAAGTTATATAGGGCTTGCTTCGGCCAATACAGGATACTGTGTAGATATAGGATGGCAGGTCAGTTTAGATTAAACAGAGGACTTCACAACCAGCTCTCAGAATACTGGGGGAAAGGCTGCTCTCTCCCTCCCATGTAACTGGTTCTAATCTTCGCCCTGCACTCATATTGAAGCTTTTGCACAAGTCCCTAAGACAGCATGGAGATGGAAGGTGCAATGTTAAATCTTGTAGTCCTCTTCCCAAGTTAGTACTCCACATGAAGCCCTTTCCAAAGTGCAGGTTCTGATGATACATGCTACCGCCCCCACCGAAAACAACACATGCCAATCTGTTCCTTTCCTAGAGGAACTGTGTACAGTCATTTTGAACAAATCACGAAAAAGAGCTGGAAGACAGCTGCTGCAACTGATCTGCTCCGTTCCGAATGTATCTTTTGCATGCAGCAAAGCACGTACTAAATCTCAAGCAGTAGGAGGACTCTCCCCCCCCCCCGCCTCTACTTACCACTGTTTGCTCTGATGTTCTCCCTTAAAAACTGCCCACTGGAAAGATGATGGAGGCCAAAGCTCTTGGCGATCCTCTCGCACACGGTTCCTTTGCCGGAGCCCGGGGGACCCAAGACAACAGCTCGCAGAAGCTTGGAGGCCATTGCGCCCAATCTAGGAAAAGAAGCAAAGAGTCAAAACCGTGACGTCCAGCAAAACCTGCAAAGCAGAGTTCGGCTCCCATAACGCTCTGCCTTATCAGAGAATTGCATACGGTCCCGTCCTACGCTTCCTAACTGCCCTTGCTTCCGTGTCACAACACACACACACACACCCCCAGTACGGGGTGGGGGGAGGACATCCCAGATTTCAAATCATTCCAAGTCCGGAGCAAGCGCCACAGCAGTCGTTTCCGACCGTGTTGATCTAGCAAAACTTTCTCCCTCCCCGCCCATCACCTCCGGAGACGAGGCAGGAATGTTCCCCGCGAGGGGTGGGGAACGGAGAACTGAATGGTGGTTTGTCACTTCCAATCCCTTCCTCCCAGAGCCAGTTAAATAAACGCAGAGGCAGAAAAAGCAATATGGAACACACAATTGCAAAAGTTTGAACGAGAGCTATGTCCGTGTGCACTCTCCCCCTTCCCCAACTCGCCTTTTTTGCACGTGGACAAAGTCTCCCCAAACGCCTTTTAAGCGGCAGCAGTGATTCCACAGAAATCAATAATGAAACTTCCTTCGCGCCGTTATGAGTGAAAATTCAGCCCTGCCGTCCGCTAAAGCAGCAGGCTACAAAAAAAGAGAGAGCCCCAAACACTAACTTGGCTTAGAGACCCTTAGATTAGAAAACTCCCAGAAAACTTTTGACGCCTGAACGGGGGGGGGCGCAAGCAAGCAACGCGGTCCATTCTTTTATCCTAGTCGGGAAAACTGACACACGCCCAGATTTAAACAAAAATAGCCTGTTAGGGTAAAGAGAAAGAAAAGTCAACTCACCACTTCTTTGGAGCGTTATAAAAGGAGGAGGGCCGAGGGAACACCAGGAAAGCAAATAAACCCGCAAAATGGCGTTTTTAAAATGTTCAACTGATTGTTTCACATGTTACCTCTCTATCCTGACATCCAATGAAAAAATACAAGCTCGCAATGCACCCCCCTTGCTGTCCCGCTGCTCCGCCTGCGCCTTTAAGAGGAGAGAGTGAGCGCCTGCAAAGGCAAACTGCTGCTCTCAATTACTCATCCTGCCCGCGAAAGCAGCGGCGGCGGCAGCAGCAGCCAGCCCAGCACATCATTAAAGCAAAGAAATGCCAGTTGTATGTAGACAACAGCGAAGAGAACTCCGCCCCTTGTAGGAAGCAAAGAACTTCGGGATTTGTAGTACTGATCTGCATTTTAAAAGCCTACCGTTCTTTAACCTCTGCCGCTCGGCTGGACTACGTATCCCAGCAGCCCAGTGGAAGTCGACCGTGTCCCGCCCTTCTCCACCCACCTTGCTTATAGGAAGACGCTGGAATGTAGGTGCAACTGGGCAATGTGTGATTTTTAAAATGGGGATTTTTGATACGTAGGCGCTGTTTCGTAATGTTACAAAGGATGGCGGGCGGGACAGCTCGTGCAAGAAATGTTTTTAATCAGCAGCGAATAGTCTAGAGGTAGAAGCAATCATTTTATCAAAAGCGTACTATTTGTTGTTAATAGTCTAGAGGTAGAAGCAATCATTTTATCAAAAGCGTACTATTTGTTGTTAACTATTTGAAACCTGGAAGTTTGTTCCTCGGATGCAGAGTTTCTCCATCCCCTTTGCTAATTTTAAGGGTTGGAAACACAGTAGAGAAAAAGGAAGGCAGCGGGTCCCCCTGCTGGCACCGAGGGAGTAGGGAACAATTATTTGCAGCCGGAATCCTGCTTACTCGGAAGTTGCCTTGATTTCTATTAGACGAGGCGGTATCATGCAGTTTGCACAGTATGACTTTTTAAAACAAAAAACACACCCATACATTAAGAAACAACCTTCTAACAAGACTGCTAATTGGTAGGTTTGCAACGTCTAGGAAGAGGACAAGACAAGTGGTGGAATTTTTAAAGAACAGCCACGGACTTAGTCATTTCTATAAATTATTCCTCCCCCCCCCCCCGCCCAATCCTCGAAAATACATAAATAAAATTTTCATTGAGATGGATATAAATATTACAATTAATGCAGTTACGTTTTTTTACATAAATATCACTACTCATTTAATAGATATCATTCAACATTAAAAGTTTCTGTATCCAAGTTCTGAGGGCAAAACACCTCCTGCAGAATGTACAACCTGACACATACGCTGTATAACGAAATACAAGCCACAAAGCTGAACTTGATACATATCTGCTCAAAAGAAAGTACATTGCAGCCTTGAAGTACTAACTTGGAGAGGCCCTGGGAGTCATTTTTATACAAGGGCCCTCACATCCCAAATTAGGAAATGCATGCAACCCTCTCATGCTGTGGATGCACAATCCCTAATAATAATTAAAATATGGACCCAGACAGGTGCCCAGCCTTATCCTTATACAATCCTTGGACTACCACAGACAAAAACTAGAATTACAGTGGTACCTCAGGTTAAGAACTTAATTTGTTCTGGAGGTCCATTCTTAACCTGAAACTGCTCTTAACCTGAGGTACCATTTTAGCTAATGGGGCCTCCCGCTGCCACCGTGCGATTTTTGTTCTCATCCTGAAGCAAAGTTCTTAACCCGAGGTACTATTTCTGGGTTAGCAGAGTCTGTAACCTGAAGCGTCTGTAACCTGAAGCGTCTGTAACCCGTACCACTGTATAATGGAAATAATGTTTCAGACATCACATAATAACAAATTGAAAGGCAAGGAAGGAAAATAGAAACATTTAAGCAGTTTCTTCTGATGAATCACAAACATCTACATATGAGCTTCATATGCAGCATCGCTCATCAGTCTCTGCTATCTTTAGAAGAAACAAGTTTGTTTTCAATTTGGTGGGGGGAATCTAACTACAAAACTGCAAACCGTTTTGTGACATTTTAAAAATTTAAAATGCAATTGGTTACATAGCTACTCAGAAGCAAGTCCCCTTGAGTTCGAAAGTATTTACCTAGTAACAATACTTACCATGGAGTAAGTTGCATTTATTTCAATGGTGCTTGCTTCTGAGTAAACCTGTTTTAAGATTGCACTGATTGTTGATGATTCAAAGTTGATGAGAGGTCTAGACTAGAGGAGGCAACATGAGCTTGTGGAATGCTCTCCCCAGGGACCTTCAGCCGGCACCTTTGTTACATATCTTTAGGCAAAAACATTCCTCTTCTCCTAAGCCTTTGGCTAATTAAGCAGTCTGTGGCCTTTTAAAGGGGGATTTGTTTGTTACTATGTAGTGCACTTTTGTGTTTTTATATGTTATATTATAAACTGTTCTGTGATTGTAGAGTTGGAAGGGATGCCAGAGGGTCATGTGGTCCAACCCTCTGCAATGCAGGAATCTCAACATGTGGCCCCCTTTCCAAGCTGAAAGCATACTGGACCCTGCTTAGCTTTGCAAATGTGCTAGCAGTTTTATTGCTGCACCACAGAGTGGTATAGAAATTGAATAAATGAACAAAATACTGTAAGCTAAGTACAAGTACAAATCTGTGGAATTTCACTCCACATTTTGTGGCTACTTGAGCATGCTTGACATACATACTCGTCCTCTTTAGGCTGTGAGCAGTAGAGAGATTCTCACACTCTCTTCACAAAAGGATGCTTCATAAAATAGTAATAAATCTGAGCACTGCTTTGAGTTTCTTACCACTTGAGAATCATGGAACTGTTCATTTCTGCAGCACAAGAAACCTGGGAGAAATATCCCATGAGGGATGTCTGAGAGGTCAAAGTGTGCTGTGGGTTATGCTGGTTGAACCTTTCTCAGTCACAGGGCTGCACTTCCTTCTGGACAACCTTCTGCAGCCTGCATAATAGCGGTGGTCAGGGCTGGACGACTCTGGGGTTGCGTGCTCATCTCACTCTATAGGCCGAGGGAGCCTGTGCTTGTCCACCGACAGCTTCCAGATCATGTTTACCTTCCAGCCGGAGTGGTACCTATTTATCTACTTGCACTTGACATGCTTTCAAACTGCTAGGTGGGCAGGAGCTGGGACTGAACAACGGGAGCTCACTCCGTTGCGGGGATTTAAACCACTGATCGGCAAGCCCTAGGCTCTGTGGTTTAGACCACAGTGCTACCCGCATCCCAATGTGAATGTTAGGTTCCTACAATAGGCTACTTTCCGTATTCAGTCGCTCTCTGCCTCTCTATGACAAGAGTGGTTTAACAATCAATTGTTCTTCCCAGAGAGCTTTTGGAATTGAAGCTCTTTGAGGCAAATTGTCTCCTAACAACTCCTAGGACCCTTGACAAATTACAATAGCCAGGATCCTTAAGGGGAGGTGATGACTGTTTAAAGTAGTGTTATACTGCTTCAAATATATAGTGCAGATGGAACCTATAGGCAAGCAAAAAGCGTTAGGAGAATTCAAGGACACATTCCAGGCCAGTGATGGATGTGGCTTGGGGAGAATCCTGAACACAGGTTAGACAGGCCAGGAAGGCTGCATTTGACCCCTGGTCCAGAGGCTCTGCATTCCTGTTTTAATGGAAGGTTTCCGTTCTAATGGTGCTGTTCATACCGCTGTTATATGCTGCCTGAACTTTTATTGCTTTATTTACACCACCTGAACTTTTATATTTTGTTTTATAAAATGTAATGGCATGTTGGCATTCGTCTGCCTCGGGAGACAATGTAGGAGTTCTCCTTTGGGGGCAAAATCAAACTGTTGGAAGGTTGCAGTGCCTGCTGTGGCTGTAGAGACTGATAAGGAAGAGACATGTTTGTTGCAGCTGGGGAAGATGGAGGCAACTTCAGATGCACCATGGTGTTTCTTCTCTCTGAGCTCCTTCCAGCGCAGAGGCAATTGGGAGGGGCGACATTATGCGCACGGTGTTGTGCATGCAATGGGAGGAGCCGGGGTGGAGCTGAATGCATCAGCAGCATAGTTTCAGTGGCCATTGGCTCCTCCTGCTGCTGCCACTGCCACTGGTGAGGGGCTCCTTTGGCTCCTTTGGCCCTTGGCCCTCCTTCCTCTCCACAGGAGAAGGAGAAGGAGGCAGCCACTGAAGCTGTGCCACGTTTGAGGGGCTTACAGTGAAGATGCCATATGAACTGTCAAAGGTCCAACATACACCATTATGCTATTTTGTGTGAATACTGGATCTATGAGAAGTTCATGGCTCATGCCAATATTTAAAATAGTAAAGGAGGCTGCAGCCCTTATTTGCATGTGTAAAGCTGCCACCAGAAATTAAACAGCCACAGAACTGTATGTCACCTGCATCCGAATGCTTTTTCAATGCAGTCAATTCACACCTTTGGTTCTGAGCATGAATACCAATTGTGAGGCACCACCAGTGTGTGTGTGTGTGTGTGTGTGTGTGTGTGTGTGTACACACATGTAAACTGACCCTTAATCCCTGGCATTCCATCTTATTATTGATGTTTTAAAAAGCAGGAAAAGAAGCTGTTTACCATTGTGCTCCAAAACAGCAGCAGTTTCCGAAATCAAACAAAACCCAAGGGGTCGTGTTTAGTATCCTTACTGCATTTTGGAAGTAGAATTAAATGCCTTGAGTTGGTTCCCCAAGATGTCATGTTGCAGAAAGCCCTTTCGGGTGCCAAGGATGGAGCGAAGCCAGTTTTGCTTTGATACCATCTGAACTGTCAGTGACTCCGGGGTAAGCGACGCCTGCCCTGCGTCGTGTGGTCCTGGTCGGACACTTTAGCCACCAGCTGATCGGCTGTGCAGGTTAGAAGCGATGCGCCATGTGTTTGCTGCCGCTCTGTCAGCTGAGACTCCCGCTTGGATAGGAGAGGGACCGAGACAAGGTGCCCACACGTTCCCCAGAAGTTGTCTCCTTCCTTTCTTGTTTTGCTGCTTTCATTCTGGTCATGAGACCCGGAAGTGTGTGTGTGTATGTGTGTGTCTTTCTCGGTGGTGTTGTTTTTTTTTTTAATCTATCACATGGCAGTGAGAGAGATATATAATAAAAACAGAAAAATGGCGACAGTCACGTTGTGGCGAGTCTATGCTGCGTCATTAGATAATCTTCATGCAAAGATCGCTAAGAACAAAGAAAAAAAGAGAGAGGGGGCAGAAAACGCGTCTGGAAAGGTGGGTGGGCAGAAGGCAGCGGCTTGCGGGGAGCGGGGGTTGGACGGGATCAGGGAGGGGGCGGGCGGGCGTGTGTGTTTTTCCAGGGCATC